GATCCCAATCCCAATCTTCATACCAATCCAAATCCTGATCCCAATCCCGATCCCGATCCCGATCCCAATCCCAATCTTCATACCAATCCAAATCCCGATCCCAATCTCTATCCCGATCCCGATCCCGATCCCAATCCCAATCTTCATACCAATCCAAATCCTGATCCCAATCCCGATCCCGATCCCGATCCCGATCCCGATCCTGATCCCGATCCCGGCCGCGGGGCACAGACACGGACCCAGGCTTCTCCGATACAATTTATGGATCTGGAATACACAACTCCCGTCCTCCCCCACTTCCAACCCGGATCCAACCTCTCCAATTCGGGAGGAATCCCCGGGAAAACCCCGGATCCGCCCCCGCCGAGTCCTCCCAACCGTCCCTGAGTTTGGATCTCCCGGAATCGCCGCCGCCGCTCCGAGTCCGGGATTCCCGCGGCGAGGAAAAATCCCCCGGCGGGGGGGAAAAAACCCGGGATCCGCCTTTCCCTCTTTTCCACGGGATAAAACCCCGAAAAAACCAAAAACGGTCCCAAAAAAGCGGCGGGAAGGGGGAGCGCGGGTGGACATTCCCGAGGGACCCTCAGGAGGTCTCCAGCACCTGGTGGGGCAGCGGGACGGCGGCGGATCCCGGGAGCGCTCCCGGCTTCTCGCGGCCCTTCAGGAAGAAGGTCAGGAGCTCCCCCTTGCCCTTGACGAAGACGGCGCCGCGGCGCACGAAGCGGAAGCCGAACTCCTTCAGGATCTGCTGCGTCTCCTCCACCACCTGCGGGAGAGCGGGAAAAGCGGGAATGGCCCGGGGGAAAAGCGGGAATGATCCAGGGGAAAAGCGGGAATGGCCCAAGGGAAAAGCGGGAATGTTCCCCATGGTCCCACCTGGACGTTCCCCATGATCCCACATGGACATTCCCTGGATGTTCCCCATGATCCCACCTGGACGTTCCCCATGGTCCCACCTGGACGTTCCCCATGATCCCCCCGGCCATTCCCACCGGGATGTTCCTGGGATCGTTCCCCATGGTCCCACCTGGACATTCCCCCAATCCCACCTGGACGTTCCCATGGTCCCACCTGGATGTTCCCCATGATCCCACCTGGACATTCCCCCAATCCCACCTGGACATTCCCCNGGATGTTCCCCATGATCCCACCTGGACATTCCCCCAATCCCACCTGGACATTCCCCATGGTCCCACCTGGACGTTCCCCATGATCCCACCTGGACATTCCCCATGGTCCCACCTGGATGTTCCCCATGATCCCACCTGGACGTTCCCCATGGTCCCACCTGGACGTTCCCCATGGTCCCACCTGGACATTCCCCATGGTCCCACCTGGATGTTCCCCATGATCCCACCTGGACGTTCCCCATGGTCCCACCTGGACGTTCCCCATGATCCCCCCAGCCATTTCCACCAGGACGTTCCCGGGATCGTTCCCCATGATCCCTGCCTGGACGTTCCCCATGATCCCACCTGGACGTTCCCCATGGTCCCACCTGGACATTCCCCATGGTCCCACCTGGATGTTCCCCATGATCCCACCTGGACGTTCCCCATGGTCTCACCTGGATGTTCCCATGGTCCCACCTGGACGTTCCCCATGATCCCCCCAGCCATTCCCACCGGGACGTTCCCGGGATCGTTCCCCATGATCCCACCTGGACGTTCCCCATGATCCCACCTGGATGTTCCCCATGATCCCACCTGGACATTCCCCCGATCCCACCTGGACGTTCCCCATGGTCCCACCTGGACGTTCCCCATGATCCCACCTGGACATTCCCCATGGTCCCACCTGGACGTTGCCCATGGTCCCACCTGGATGTTGCCCATGACCCCGGTGGACTCCATCCTGCTGGCCACGTTGACCGTGTTGCCCCAGATGTCGTAGTGGGGCTTGCGCGCCCCGATGACCCCGGCCAGCACGGCGCCCTTGTTCATCCCTGCCAGGGACAGGCGTGGGTAACGCCGCAATTCCCGGAATTCCCGGAATTCCCGCAATTCCCGCAATTCCCGGAATTCCCGGAATTCCCGGAATTCCCGGAATTCCCGGAATTCCCGGCGTTCCCGACTTGCCGATGCGCAGCATGAAGTTGTTGAAGGACTGGTAGTTGATGTTCATCAGCGTCACCTTCATGGCCAGCGCGAAGTCGGCCAGGTCGGCCAGGTGCTGCCAGCGCTCCTTCTCCGAGCGCGGCTCCTTCTGCGTGGACATCCCGGGAATCGGCCAAGGGCACGGGAGGTGGGACACGGAGGTGCAGGTGGTGGGGCTTGGAGATGGGGGGACATGGAGATGGGACATGGAGATGGGACATGGAGGTGGAGATGGAGATGGGTCATGGAGATGGGACATGGAGATGGGATATGGAGATGGAGATGGGAGATGGAGATGGGACATGGGACATGGAGGTGGAGATGGAGATGGGTCATGGAGATGGGATATGGAGATGGGATATGGAGATGGAGATGGGAGATGGAGATGGAGATGGGACATGGAGGTGGAGATGGAGATGGAGATGGGTCATGGAGATGGGACATGGAGAA